GGCCGCTTGGGCGATCGGTCACGTCTCTGTTCCTTTATATTCTTCGCAAAAGGTCGGCTCGCTAGCCGCCGGGCGATCGGTCACGTCTCTGTCACGCACTGTTTGGCAAATACTGGGCATGCACCGGCTCTGGATGTACCTGAACCCGCTCCAGTGTTGGTGGAGTAACTACTCTTAGAAAACCACATCGGTGCCGTCTGCTCTCTGATGCGATTGTTCCAGGATTTCAACCCTCCTCCGAAAAAGTTTTGCCTCCACGGTTTTCTGGACTTGCAGCTTCTTCGTCTTGAGCTGTGACCCACTGGCCCAACTCCAGAAGCAGGCCTCAGTGCCCTGGAATTCTTCACTCAACTAGGTCCCCCTTGCCCCGTCTGTGGTTAAACTAGGCAAGTTCAGGCGCTCCAATCTCTCAGGGTGGCTGAGTATCGAAGTGCAGGCACCAGTTTGGTGGCCCTCCTTTGAACATTTTCAACCAACTGACAGTCCCTAGCATATCTCGGGGACCCGGATGGAATTGACAGTACTCCAGATGGGGAAAGCACTTCACTCCTGAAGATCGTCACGAGGACGGACCGTCTGAATATCTGAACGACCTATCCTGCTCGGATATTATAAGAACTTTATCTATATCCCCTTTATTGATTCCTTTCACCCACTTTTTTTTTTTATCCTCTTCGCCACTGATCGGCTTGTTAGCCGCTTGGGCGATCGGTCACGTCTCTATTCCTTTATATTCTTCACCAAAAGGTCGGCTCGCTAGCCGCCCGGGCGATCGGTCACGTCTCTGTCACGCACTGTTGGCAAATACTGGGCATGCACCGGCTCCTGAATGTACCTGAACCCGCTCCAGTGTTGGTCAAGTCTTCTTTGAAAGAGCTCACACTCGGTGCCGTCACAACACTCTCTGGTAGATTGTTCCAAGAGTTTACAACCCTCACTCCGAAAAAGTTTGCCCTCACGGTTTTGGACTTGCGGCTTCTTCAATCTTGAGCTGTGACCCCTTGTGGGGCGAGCGTCCGCCAGCTCCAAGTAAGGACACTCAACTGAGTAGTGCCCCCTGAGATGCTTATACACCTCAACTAGGTCCCCCCTTGCCCGTCTGTAGTATAAGCTAGGCAAGTTCAGGCGCTCCAATCTCTCAGGGTAGCTGAGGTGCCGAAGTGCAGGCACCAGTTTGGTGGCCCTCCTTTGAACATTTTCAACCAACTGACAGTCCCTAGCATATCTCGGGGACCAGATGGGGTGACAGTACTCCAGATGGGGAAGCACTTCACTCCTGAAGATCGTCACGAGGGACGGACCGTCTAGATATCTGAACGACCTTCTTATAAGACCCAATAATTTATTTGCCTGATTTACCTTCTTCTCACAATGGCCCGAGAACTTCAGCTCATTGTCAACATATACACCTAGGTCCTTCTCACACACAGTCTCAACTAGTGCATTTTCTTCATCCCGTTGGGACATATGATACGCCTCCTTACCGTTGGTACGCCCCAGGTGCATCCTCTTACACTTCGTGACATTGAATCTCAGCAGCCATTTCTTCGACCATTCCTGGAGCCCACAGAGGTCCTTCTGCAGCTCTTCACAGTCCGCTTGGTTCTTAATTTCCCGAAATAACTTGCCATCATCGGCAAACATTTGTATGGAGGAGTGTACAACGTCAGGCATATCATTTATGAAACAAACAAACAACAGCGGGCCCAATACACTACCCTGCGGTACCCCACTTGTTACAGGTACAGATGACGATTTCGTGCCATTAATCACCACACATTGCTTGCGGTCATGTAGAAAGTCTTCTATCCACGCTAGGACATTTCCCCGAATTCCGTACCCTTCCAGTTTGATTTTCAGCCTTTCGTGGGGTACACTGTCGAAAGCCTTGGCAAAATCTAGGTAAATATTGTCGATATTACCACCCCGTTCTAGAATATGGGTCCAAATATCCAATACCTTGAGCAATTGTGTTAAGCAAGAGCGCCCCGGCATAAAACCGTGTTGGCAATCTTTTACAAGGTTGTTTCGTAGTAGATGTTCCATCGCGGCATCTCTGATAATACTCTCAAGTACTTTACATATTATGCTGGTCAGGCTCACCGGTCTATAGTTGTTCGTGGAGTGACTATCGCCCTTCTTGAAGATAGGACTCACATAAGCCACTTTCCATTCACTGGGGACCATTTGTTCATCCAGGCATTTACAAAACAGAATCTTCAGGGGCTCTGCAAGCTCGTTGCACAGCTCTCTTAGCACTCTAGGATGCACCATGTCAGGTCCGGGACTCTTATGGACCTTTAGCCTGGACAGTTTATTTCTAATACCCTCTTCTGTGAACACAATGTGGGTCAGTGCTGTGTCGAACCGTCTGTCCTCAAACGCAGGAAGGTTAGTTGCATCCTCTCTTGTGAACACTGAGGAAAAGAAGCTGTTCAATGCCTCAGCTTTATCCTGGTCAGAATCTGCGTAACTACCAAAAGTAAATGTAAAATGTGCGGCCAGACATATAGCCACACACTTGAACACTACGTCCTTGGCTGTGTAAAGATAGAACCTTTTAGGGACAGGTCCAAGCACACTGTGTGAAATGGCACAACACTTCATCTCTAAAGGCAAGATAGCCGACACATTAAGATTGTATCCACTTTTTTGCACTTCGTAACTATATCAGTTCTCATGTACAGAACCAAATACACAATGTGTGAATACTTCTCACGTAAATGTGAATAACAAAGTGTGAGGCCAGACATATTGCCTCACACGCCTGTACTCATGCATTTGTGAATAAGTTACCCTTTATGTATTGAACTAAACAACTAATGTAATTGAAATAGTGTGTAACATGCAGTGCCATAATATCCTGAAAACGGGGGTTAATTATTATAACCCGTTGTAAACTCTACTCTGTAATCCTTTTGCGCTACCGCTCAGAGGATGAGTGTGGGGTGCACAATAAAGTAGCCGCTGTAAGCGGCAAAATCAATCACTATGGAGTCCCACAAGCTGCCTGTCTTCCTCTGAGCATCCTCACCAACCAGCTCTCTCTACTCAACGCTTGTAACCACGCTGCCTTCCCAGCACCAAGCTGCATTGTACATCCAATACAATATGTATACAGAGAGCACATTGTGAGTTTCCTTTCTCCAACCCATCCTGAGTGTGAACCAATATCTCATAACCCCACAAATGGTGACCCCGGAGTGACCACTCACACAGGATGGAGGAGAAACTCATAACCCCACACGTACACATCGTGAGGCCTCGGGAGGGTTGGTATGCGTGTTTTACCCACCGCCATTCAGTTTCTAACACAGTGGGTGAGTTGACAGCACACACATCCCAATACCTATCGTCAGTGGTCTCATTGTTTCACACAGAGTATGCACACTGCACAGATACTTTTTTTTAGTTACTGTACATCTGACGCCGCCCTGCAGTAGTTGCAAGTCAATGAGTGCTGCCGCTACAGCCTTTGATTCTCGAGAATCCCTACACCTCATGGCTGCCAGCAAAGAAGGGCCAGTTAGTGATTTGATGCTATATTTTTGGCGGCACGCAGCTGTATGGGTAGTCAAGCTTCCTTGGCTGCCAGGCTGTCCTGTGATTCCTGTCGTTGTTGTGTAGGTGGTGGTGGTGGTGGGGGGGGTGCAGACTCTGTATTCATCTACTCGGCCTTAAGCCCACCTGTTTACAATGTGGTATAATTCTAATCTTCGGCTTAATAATAATAATATTATTATTAATCTTTATTACGACTATGATAATTGCTTCTAATCTGTCTTGGTAGCGGGGCTTTAGCCGCTTAGCGTCAAGGTCCCTTTGAAAAGCCTCACTTCTCAATCGCTGTCTGCGGAAACGGCGTAGTGTGTACCTCGGCCACTTTGACTAGTGCCAACTACTGGGCTCTTCCAGTCACATACGGTAATTTTACAACATTTTCTGGTACTGGGGATGTTTTACAGTGAGGGGGCAATATTTATGTTTTGTGGTTAAAATTCGTCCATTGGCTGTAGGTTCCCGCCATGTTTACCTCAGAGTCCTCACTTAAAGTAAGTTGTCTCCATTTCCTCCTTGTAAGTTAGATTGGTTCTTTTCGTATGAGAATAGGTTTTCTTTTGTGTTTTTTGTTTTTTTTTTACTCCAATTTGACCACTTTTTTGTGCAAATTATGTTTGTTTTAAATGAAAATGTAAATTTGGGGGAAAAAGACGCTAATTTGCACAAGAAATGAGTGTCAGATTTGAGTAAAGCACACCGAAAAGCGTAAAAAAAAAAAATAAATAAAAAAACATACCTAAACCTGAGAACAGCCAATGTACGAATATTTACCTGTTTTGCAAATAAAACTTGTAAACGACCGTGTTGGCACCATAACTTCAGATCTCAGATTATGTCAACGTGGTTAGCACCAGAAAAAATAATGGAATTAAACCAAGATTTGTGGGAAGACTAATATGATCCTGAACACTAAAATGAAAGTTGAGTGAGGTTAGGTAAGGTTAGGTCTGGTAGCCGTTAGGTCAGTTAATCTTGCTTTCATTTTCGTGTACAGGTTCATGATATCTAATTCCTCTAATTTGATTCAATTCCATTATTTTTTCTGGTGTTAATCTTGACAAAATAATCTAGATTTTGTGCACATGCACATTATATACAAGGGGCCCTCTGAGTATGGGGGATCTCTGAGAATGCTAGAATGCTACACAGGCAGCAACAGTGTTATTTGGATCTTATTAAAAACTTGGACTGTATTAATTTTTGTTGAAAAATTTGTCACTATTACAGTTTTTTATGTTGATTCGAAGTATGCAACTACTTTTTTGCAGAAATAAATATTTAATATTTTATTGGCGCTTACGTACATTGTACGTCTTACAACCTAACCCACATATGGGATGGGTACCAGTGAGAGTTTATGTGGCGCCAGCATCACATGGGCAAAATTTGTAGTCGCTTATGTTAAGCATGATTGGGCAGCACTTCTGATTCATAGACCTGTAAGTGACAAATAAAACATTTCTGCAAAACATGAGTTTCAAATTTAAAATCAGCACAAGAAATTGTACCTTTAATGCAAGTTTAAAAAATTGGGAACACAGTCCAAATTTTTAGTAAGAACCTGTTATTCTTCCACCCTATTTGATTTATTGTTGTGGTTAGAAATAAGTTTTCTTCAATAGATATTTTTCGTTATGTAGTTGGTTAAATCAGACCATTGTCCTTAAATACCTGTATTACTGCTGAGATAATGTCACACAATAGTGTAGTTCTGAAGGATGGGTAAAGCTGATAACTGGCCATGGATATAAGGAGAGCATAGATGTGGTCCATTAATTGAATATTCATTTCAATTTTTCAGTTTGGAGATGAACACAGATGATTCAGCTCCAAAATCATCTCTTGGTCGTGGTGGGCGGGGAGCTGCTCTACTCAGAGCTCTTCATAGTCTACCACAACAACCAAACCAAGCCTTGGCAGAGAGTGTCTCTCCAGCTCCAGCTGTACCTACTCCATGTGTCGTGAGTATAGGCTAATTCATCAGTAAACTAAACTGACAGTAAAAACTTATCGCAGTAATGTTTAAAATTGCATAACAAAATGCAAGCAAGCTTCGTATCTTGTGATTTTGATATATATAAGGTTTATATTTATTATTTTGAATATCTGCATTTTACCCGTGTTTATGAACTTTATCTCTCAATCAGTCAGGGGGTGCTGGTGTTCAAGATGATAGCAGTGGAACCATTTATTCATCATTGGGCACTAACCGAGGGGCACTCATCAGTCAGCTGCTCAAGAATAAAAGTGCTTTATTGCCTCCAGGTGGAGATACTTATGACAAGCAAGGGGTTCGCCCAAAATTGGACTTGGCCAGAGGTCGTGCAGCACATCTGCAAACCCGTTTAATTGACAAACCTACAGCTCAGGTTGGAGCTCAGTCATTGTGAGTTCAGTGCTTCTTTTTCAAACTGTATTGGTGATATTGTTATTAGTAAGACTGTATTGAATAGCCTTTGACTTTTCAAAAAATTAATAGTTTTAAAAATTTTTATTTGTGTGCAGCTCATTCGACAACTGACCTGTGATATTATTGGAACACCCCCAGCAGAGCCACCTATAGTATTTCAACGCTAATCTTGCCCATAAGCCAAGCCCCTTTTATATACAGTACTAATAGCTGATTGATTCATAGAAACTTCAAACTAAATGTGTTTACAATTGGTAAGCAGACATGATATTATCTAAAATAATGTTAAATAATTATCTGAACTATCAAAATGCAAATGATTTCAAGGCATTAGCACTTCAGAGAGGATGTTAGAACATTTTAAATATTTACCATAAAAGGTCAATATAAATACTCTCTGGTACACGTGCAGTCTGGGGTGAGGTAAAACGGTCAGGGGAACCAATCAGCTATTTGTAGCTATAGACAGGGGTCGGGGGCTTTCGGGCCAGGTTAGCATGGAAAGGGTATAACTGGTGTTGTGTCAATATTACAATGGAATTTCCAGAGCACATAATTCAGCTCTGCTTTTCTCATGTGTGGGATGACTTAAGGTTTTTAGAGAATAGAAAATGGGTATTCAGGATCAGTCCCTCATTTTTATGAATAAATTTAAAAAAATGGTGTAATATTATTTTACAACTTTTTTATTATTTTGTTTTTGCACATTTTGTTAGATCATCAGTTTCACAAGAGTGTAGAGATTATTCATCATCGGTGACAGAGAAGCTTCAACAATTGAGTATCCAAGACACTGACGACCAAGTTTGTCGTCAGGGGACCACTGGAACTAAGTGAGTAGAGATACTTTAGTAGAAATTTGACTGTCTCCTTAGCTATACAGTACCTTTCATCACAATACAGTATTGTTGTATTAGTGTATTAATTACTCTTGTCCTTACTTCATTCTATTTTCAATAATTTCCTATTTACAGTATGTCTTAATATGACAAAGAGGATATTTTTATTTTCAATACTACTTCATTCTTACATTATCAACCCTCTTTTTGTAGCTATCTATTTATGCATCTTTTACACCTTGTACTGTACGAGCTCTTAGATGTGACCCACAAGAGTGTACAGTATTGTCATTCCCTTTGTTAAATACAGTCCAGTAGTTGCTGTACATTATAACCATCTAATGTGTGATAGATGAATGGCAATATTTTCTTTCAGCCATACTATGGGCAGGTTGATTCATTTTACTAAAGTAAATGCTGTCAAGAATTGGCACAGAAAATTGGTCTTTGAAAAAATTTAATTATGTTTTGTAAATTTATTTTCCACCTTAAACTTTGTCAGCCAAAGTTAGTGACTCATGAACTCGCCTTTCTATCTACACTCATGTCACATTGGCTTCATGGCCTGCTTTTAGCCCCAACTATGATATGTATTTTGTACTTTTGCCTATCTCCAGGTGGATTCATAAAGAAGGATTTTTTCAGAGATCTCTTTAGTATGTTGTCTTTTCATTGAAGCTGTTTTGAACCTTGGTTTGTACAGTCAACATCTGTGTGGTTGAATGAAAATATCACCATTCCTATCATAATACAACAGTTCAATGTCTGTACAAAACACACTTTTTTTTTCAGTTTACAATTAATTTACCTGCAGATAGCCACCTTTAACTAATAAATTTTTAACCTCTGCGAATATTTGAGAACCCTAGAACTAAATTGTATTCTTCTGTTTGATTCCTTCAGACTGCCTTTCTTGTCAAACTGGATTCGTCTGTCCCTTAAAGAAAATAAGGCTGTATTTGAGTATGAGGTAAAATTTGTTCCTCAAGTTGATGCACGTAATCTTCGCTTCCGTCTCCTCAACTCTATGAGAGACAAGATTGGCTCAGTTAAGAGTTTTGATGGATCTCTGTTGTGGTTACCCATCATGCTACCAAATAAGGTTAGTAAGCAGTGTATTTATTGGGTTGATGGCTTGATTGAAATCTGCTAAATTAACTTCTTGAATTTAAAGCTGGTACACTCATTTCAATCCATTCAACAGTAAGTTTCTCTAGCCCACTTGGTCTTCTTGGAGTGAGTCTTTTTGTGAAGAAGAAAAGTAAACTGAAAACTTATCATTGTAAATTAAGTAAAATAATTTTTTTGAACAAAACCCATACACACATATTATATATATATATATATATATATATATATATATATATATATATATATA